CATTGAACCCTCTAAGGCTTTCTGGAATCCTGTTGGATCCATTAGCCTGTGAGGGTGGACTATTCTAATGGGTCCACCACTCCCGGTGGGGCGGATGTTGGCTCTAAGTTCCATCTTGACCAGGAAATGATCTGTCCATGACAATGCGGAGGTACTTACAACCTCCGTCCATGGATATTCCTGTTCCATACTGAAGATTGCATCAAGTGTATGACCTGCCCAATGTGTGGGCCCAAGGACCAATTGGGATAGGCCCATGTTTGTCATGGTCTCCATGAACTCCCGAGCCATGCCTGTTAAGCTGGTCTCGAGCGGGATGTTGAAGTCCCCCAAGACTAAAAGTCTGGGAGTCTCCAACAGCAGTTCAGAGACCAGCTGTGTCAGCTCGGTCAGGGAGTCTGCTAGACAATGGGGTGGCTGGTAGACTAGCAAAATCCCCAAACTATCCCTGGTTCTCAGGCTTAGGTACATACAATCAAAGTGGACTGTGTTCTGGACAGGTATCCTGGTCAAGGTCAGGCTGTTCTTATGAACTAGAGCCACTCCACCCCCCCCCACCCACTTCCCCTCACCTGCTCACTGACAGAGTACTCAGCTGGGAGGGCCTGCGCCCATGTGACAGCGCTGTCCTCTCCCAGCCAGGTCTCTGTGAAGCAAGCCAGGTCAGCATCCTCATCCATGAGGAGATCATGGATGATATGTGTTTTGTTCTTGACCGATCTGGTATTGCAGAGGAGCAGAGTGAGGTTTTGTGGAATGGTTGGTCTGCTCTCCAAAACCATTCTGGGAAACAGAGGGAACTGAAGGCAGGATAGCTTTCAAACAGCGATCCCGTCTTCTTTTGTAACATATGTTCCCTCTGTTGCAACCATACCTCCCATTCCCGTGCACAACTCCGATAGCCGTCCCTACCACATTCCTGGCCTCAGGGAGAGCAATAGAACTCAAGGCCACTGGAAAACTGAAGTGACTGGGGCATAGAATATTCTAGCCCCATAACCTAATTGTTATGATGACAGATAACAGATGGTAAAGCCCTGTGGCTAGTTAAACAGATGTTATACAACCCAGCCTCTCATCAGGTCTTAAACTAACAGGCAGGGCACACAGTCTTGACTGAGTAATCCTCCGTCTCTCCACTGCCGAGGGCTAATGACAAAATGTTGGCCCCGTCCAGTCCGCCTCCGGTTCCCCGTCGCTTGTGCCGCGCTTCTAGCTGGTGGTCCTGAGGGCTACTTAAGTAGTCCTCCCTTGGGCCAGGAGCAAGGGCCACTGCAGATAATGTGGAGCCAGGGGAGATGGTCACAGGAGGCAGTAGGGCGCTGCTGGTGCTGCTAAGTTGGGAGGAGATGACAGTCCTGGGCGTGCAGAGAAGGCAATGCTCACCTTCCCAGCCTCTGCTCTCCTGCTGCTAGTGCTGCGTTCTGGAGCTGATGTTCCTGGGCCTCCTTCAACTTTTACTTTTAATGTGTCAGTACAGCATGCTCATCTACAAGATTCTATTTCCCAGTTGCTGATGACATAAACATATATGTAGAAGAACAAATTAATTCTTTATCCTTTTTATTTAAAGAGGCTAACAGCAAGCCTTTGTTATGTCTAAACTCTGGTGCACATCCCATATGAAATTGGAGAGCTAGTGTGGGAGAGGTTGGCTTGGATTTGGGAAATCTAGGTTCGGTGTCCCATTAAGCCATTAAACTCACTTGGAGAACTAAGGCCAGTCTCCCTACTCTAACGTTGCAGGGTTTGGGGAGGAAGGGGAGGGGAGTCATATATGCTACCTTCAGTTCAGTGCGAGCAAGGTACAAGAA